CATGGGGACCAGGGGGGCCTGGTGTCGTTGCAGATATCCTGGCACCCAGTTTATTGGGTGAGGGGACTGTGACGATTTGTTAATCTAATGAATAACTGATTTGTTAAATCAAATGAAAAATTGTGTGTTTGATTGGTTCAGACGCTTCATGTATTTTGGCCATGTGTGGTCTCAGTGGCCCCTGTGTCAGTCTGAGCACTCACACCTGTCTGAGTTTTAGAGATGTAGTCTGGGGTGCCCACATGTAGTGTGCATGGCCACAGAACAAGTGTACCAGTACAGATCAGTCAGCCGTGAGTGGGTTGAGAGCTGCTGCAGAGGGCCAGGTGTGAAGGACAGCCTGTGAGAGCCCAGCAGAACCAAAGATGAGCTCAGAGGTGCAGAAAGAGAAGTCACAGGCTTTATTCATCTGCACAGAAGCTGAAAAGATGTTTGTGTTGGAAAATTGGAGATTCTGTCATTTATTCATCCTCATGTCAGATCAGACCTGCATGGCTTTCTTTCACAGAAAAATAAGTTATTTGAAAATGTTTCATCACTCTCAGTTCTCAAAAATTGCATCATGTTTCAGCTGAGTATTTGGCATCATTGACATCAAACCTGGTGCTTTGCGAAGTTCAGATATGCACTTTTGGAAATTAAATTTGAGACCCTTTTAATATTCATGTAAAAGCTCTTTATTGTTCTGCTTAAACATTGTTCTTTTTAGAAGTGGCAGTGCCGCCTTCTCACTCTCATTTCTTTAACCGTTTTGACTGTAAATACCACCTTTCTGGACATTATATACCTGGGAGCTGATGAAAGGCTTCCATGACGGGTTTATTTGAATAGTGTCAGTAGCTTAAGCATTAGGACAAAATCATGAGAAATGACTGAAAAAGGTGCGAGTGGTTGATAGTTACCTTGCAAGTCAACTAATGGAGGCTTGGGGAAAGAAACTAATTTTCAAAAGCTGTAAGAGCAGAAAAAATAACTTTTGTGTTCGGATTGATTTCTATTGACAGAGTTTCTATGAAATCAAGTCTATAGTTCATTCTCTGACTTCAGAGTTTCTGATCTAACAAATTAAGTTACTGAGGCTTGAGTGGAGCTGCACTACCTTTCAAAAGTTTGAGGCTGGTCATTTCTTTTTAAATATCTTTATTACAATTATTACATTTTAAAAGAACTATTTTCTGTTTTATTTTTTTAAATATAATATATTCATGTGATGGCAAAGCTAAATTTTCAGCATCATTACGCCGGTCTTCAGTGTCACATGAACCCTTAGAAATCTTTCTAATTTCTTATCAATGTTGAAAACAGTTGTGCTGCTTAATATTTTATGGAAACCGTGATACATTTTTGTGAATAGATGAGATTTTCTGGTAACACTTTATTTTAAGGTGTCCTTGTTACACATGTTACATGTACTTACTATTATAATAACAATACATTATGCATAATTACATGCAAGTAACCTAAACCAATCCCTAATCCTAACCGTATAGTAATTAAATGTAGTTAATTAATATTACTCAGTACTTAAATGTATAATTACAGTGTAACATGGACACCTTAAAATAAAGTGTAACCGATTTTCCTTTTGGGTGATCCTTTTAAATGAAGTTTGTCATCATTTTCTGAGCCTTACGTTGCCTAAAATGGGACATAAATATAAATACATGGAATATAGTGCATGAGCTGTAAAACCCATTTTATGATATTTTTATGGTGCTTTTTTGTACTTTTTGCAGCTTGACAGCATCCATGTTCACATACGGAAAATAACAATGTAAATTTCCTAACTTCTCCTAGATTCGAGGAAGAAAGGAAGTCTCAAGTTTGGGATGACATAAGCGTGAGTAAATGATGACAGAAAAGCACAGCCATAAGCTATATTCCATCTTCTTTTCAAGCACTGTGCACAAATGTAAAAACTCATCTGGTATCAGCAGGTCCTTTGGACACGGTCTCCCTATGGCAGCCATGTGTATAAAAGATGGTATTTCCACTTCCTCCTCCCGTCTACTCAGCATCCTGTTCATTCTTTTCTCTCTCTGTGAATCTGTCTGTCTCTTCTCAGCTAAGCTGTTTTCACTCAAATGATTGCTTTGTAGTGAAAACTCAAAAAGCAGCCATCTGATTATTAATTAGCATGCTAAAGGATTTTTTAAGCACATTAAAGCCGCCATTACATATCACCTTAGTAGTCCTTCTCTCTTCTTTCACTCTCTATCGGTGTGTTTTTCTCTATTTTTGACATACAGACCGAGGGTGGCAGGCATCAAAGGGCAGGAAGAGAAGAGAACCCACACCCACTGAGCTAACATTTAAACTCCATCTAATCCCACCAGGAACCAAAGGCACCGCGCTGAACGTCAGATTAAACCCAGAAATATGTATGAAAAAAATCTGCTTTCTCCTGCTTTCAAAGGGGTTCAAAGGGGCAATGAAACTTCATCAAAGCACCACGTCCTTCTTTTGCCCTTACGTTGCAGCTTGGCAGAACATGAATGCAGTGTCCTTCAGATTTGAGTTTTATAGCATCAGTGTCTGTCTATCTTTACTCAGCTCATGCATAAGTGCTGTGCTGACAGGTGAGCTTCTGTACATAAACGTCCTGTATCACTGAATTTAACTGCATTTGAACAAAATATTAAATCGAGTAGGAACTGCAAACAAACATTTTTATTTTTTTTATTTCACTTTAGAGGCGGTTCGCACAAAATTTGTTTTTTATTAGTTTATGTAAAAATGTGTAAAATGGGTGGTGATATGACATTTCTTATGATGGTCAAATGATGTCAAAAAAGAAAGAACCCAGAATTCTATTCCAATCCATTAATTAAAAAAAATAATAATAATAAAAATAATAAAACAAATTATTTAAAATGTTTTTGGTTTTTTTTAAGTATTTTTTTAAATGATTTTTGGTGTATTTTTATTTATTTGTTGGTTTTTATATTTTGAAGCATGAAGTCAGTTCCCGTTGAGTTCATCACAGTCATTAACTATGGACATTTTCCACTAACATTTGACATCCACCAAATACATTAGCTCTGTTCCAGTTAGTTTTTAATTAGATTTAACTTTTTAACATTTTTATATTGATTTAGGTATATTTCCCTTGACTTCATTTGTTTTGTAATCTAATGCAACTGTATTCATACATTTTAAAGAGTTGCTTAAAGTGTCCAAATTCATTCTGGGGTCATTTTCATTTTTTAGTCACAGGACCTTCCCTGAGCTCCTCGTTCAGTTCCCGGATAGCCACACACCCATTTAAAGCTCTTTCCCATGTTAAACGCATCCGGTTTTGTGTTCACTGTCCTAGTTCATGATAAATGTGAAGTTTTTCACCCCGTGTTCACCACCCAGACAAGCATGAGAAATGATGGTCCTAATTGATTCTCACTTTCAAAGGATCTGATGGGCGCACGAGTCAGGCAGCTTCTTTAAAGGGCTAATGAGCTTAATAGACGACACTTGTCGATCCATTTAAACCCCCCCCCCCCGTCCTAAGAATTAAACCATTAAAAGAAAGGCTCGGATTTCTTCATCTCTGCAAATCGGACTAATCCAGCATTGCAGAAATGCAGGCTTTGGAGAGAATGGCTTCTTAAGCCTACTACACCGTGCATAGGTGTTGCTTAGCGCTTCTGTGGGCGAGTGTGCGCTGTGGATCCATTCATATGATTATGAGGCGAGGGTTAAAGTCACAGTTTAGGGTGAGAGAATGAGAAGTTTGCTTCCGTTTCTCCTCCTCTCGCTCTCTCTCCATTTCGATGTGTTCTGCCTCCTCTATGCCCCCCGGGAGCTCAGTGTTTATTGGCTGCCTGAAATACACCCATCTTTCCACCAGCCCCCGGCTAGCATTGTCTCAACAAAGCCTGTTACTTGATGGTTCAAAAGGGGCTTTTTGGGTGTGATTTCCCTGCTCTCTCTCTCTCTCTCTCTCTCTCTCTCGGTCTCGGTAGCTGCCGTCTCGGCTCAGGAGCATGGCGAATGGGATCAGAAGCAAACAGCCTCACTGATAACGATGAAGGGCAAATATTGAAGCCTCATTGTTTGTTTTTTTTCTAGCTCCCCAGCTTCTGTCTGCATCGTCTTTCACATTCTGATTTATATTAATCTAAACTCTGACATTAACTCTCCGTTCAGGCTTATTTTCAAATGCAAGCCTTTGACGACTATATTCTGATTAATGTGGAATTCTATTTAATACACTTTAAATTAATGATGCTTTACATCTAGTTGACTTGTGACCTTTCTCTGCTGTAGTCCACTTATAATATTAGTCCAAGTTTTTTGGTTTTTCAAGATTTTCTACCCTCTTTTCAGTTAGGCCTGTTCACACCAGTGACGTCATCTATACAATTACTACATTAGCATCCACACCAAAGGACAGTAACATTCTGTTTATTGTAAGCATGCACTGCAATTCTGTCATCTGCCACTTTCAATTTTCAAGATTTTTAAAGGTGGATTCTAATTGGCTGTCAATGCTTTTAGCATTCATCTGCTGAAAAAACATTCTGAAAGTCATTCCAACAATATCATTCCTTTGGGTCGTTATAATAGCTGTGGAATGGACTTCTCTATTCTTATAGAATTAGAACAATTATTAAAACATTATAGTGATAGTTATTGACAGTCATCATCCTTGAACAGGTCTTATGGCTTCTGTTTGCAAATTCGCTTCTAGTGATGCGATAGCTGCATTCTTTTTTGGTGGAAAACCTCTTTAGTCATTCAAAAATAACTGTAATTAGACTAAATATGTTTTGACGTGTTTTATAAGTGAGAATTTTTGGAAGGTCTTAAAAATGTGAAATGGACTCTCTCTGTCTACTCCCTTTGACGTCATGATTCATGTAGGATGGTCTCAAATTAAGTGTTTGGGACAGTGTGGGTTCTTTTGGTGCCAGCTGACAGTGTACATGACTTTCCTGACTCATTTCCAGAGTAATTAGTAAGAAATAGTAGTATCTACCCTATATAATTGCTATTACCTCACAGTGACTGGGTCCTTTTTTAACAGAATATGCTAGCTGACAAATAAATGTGGTCATGTATGGTTATGAATAGGGATTTTCCATGTCAGAAATGTGAGGAGGAGCTGTTTTTTCAGCTTTGTTTTAATAACAGTAAGTTTTAAGTTATAGTCCAAGTTACAAGTAAAATTTCATAGTGCAGTGACTTTGCAGAAGATCAAGGAAAATTTGATTAGCCATAATATGACCACTTTAAATGGAATAAAACAAGCTAATACTGTCTTTGAGCTCTCAGTGACTCGTGCTTCATGGGATGCTCCACATTATAAGTGCAACGCAGTACCAAGTGAGCTATTGAGCAAGTTTACTAGAAATCCATATGGAGCTGATTATGTGATGAAAATGTTAAAATGCATTCGTTTACAAATCATGCACTATGGCAAATGTATTGTGAGATCATGTAGTATTGTGCAAGAAAGCATGCAAAAATAAGTCTTTATTAATCACTATTATGAGCTTGTAATTATAACTTGTGTGAAAAGGAATACAAGTTGTTGGTGTTTTACTGCTACTAGTTTTCATTTCAGCTGGAACATGCAGTGAATTGTATGTATAGGTATGTTTTTTGGAGTTTTGCAAAAGTGTAGGTAGAGACAGGTTTTTCCAGTTAGCCTGTGTTGGATTCTTTATATGCAAGTCATAACCCTTTTCAGATTTATTCAGTGATGGCACTCATTGAGGTAGGACCGAGTTACCTTTTTTGGGCTTTTCGCTTGGCTGTAAGTGTCTGTCCAGGTCAAGGGGCTTCTGTCTCCACAGTGAGATACTCACTGGTCTGAAGAGATCACCCTCAGGCACCAGCTGGAGCTCTGACAGATGGTGTCAATGCACTGCATATAGAGAGAGAGAGAATGAAATGGGATGAGAGCAACAAAATGAGACAAGAGAGTGTGGAACACTTGGTTTGGTGAGTCACAAGTGATGGATACCGAGTACATCTGTCCTTGGTGTGTGATGTGACTGCTGATTGGTTCTGACGGGCCTTTTAGAATGGTCGTCAGTCTCAGGACTGAAACTCTATTGGACTGTGCTGGATCAGAGGGGTGTGGCCTCAAACTTTTACACAAGTTAAACTGTCATAACTTTAAAGCAGTAGTTCATCTACTAATAGTTCATTTACCCGGGTAATGTTATTTACAAGCAATATGACATTATATGGTAAACAAAAGGAGATAAGGATATCTGTAGACGTTGTCTTTGTAAATGTCTTTGTAAATTTGTAAGCAACATAGACGCTACACCTGCCAGCATTGTTGTAGTTAGTTAAAACTATAAAAAACTAAGTTAATTTAAAAGTTGAAATAAAATAGAATACAATGTAAAACTAAATGAAAAATTAGAATACTAAGTGAAATAAGTTTAAAAACTGAAACAAACTGAAATAAAACAAATGAAATAAATGGAAATAAAAATAAAATATTTTTGTTGTAATAAAAAGGATACATAGCAAAAGCGCTAAAATAAACGAAAAAAAAAAAGCCAATTCAAAATGTTAATAATATTACAGGCTAATAAATAATTCTGTTCCATTATTTATTCTATTCTGTTCCACAAAAAAGAAAGTCATGAGGTTTGGGAACTACATGAGGGTGAGTATATGATGACAGAATTTTCTTTTTTGGGTGAACTGTTTCTTTAAAATTCTTTATTCCTGCTTGTCCATATCCAGCAACATCAAAAGCAATCTAGATGTGAAGCGTCAAACGTATGCAGGAGTCTCTGTAGAGCGTGTTTGTCAGTAGGCCCGCCTGAGGAAATGTTCCCATAATGCGACCCATAGTCAAAGCTGTAGCGCTGCCTCATGACCTGCTGACTGCACAGTTTGGATCACACACATTTAGAAACATGTCGGTCATTAATCAAAATGATTGACAGCTCACTTCACCCTGTTTAGACATATTTATTGCCACTTCTGTGATGTATGCGTGATGTCTGTGAGATCCACGGCTGACACAAAAAGAATCTGGATATGAAAGAAACAGATACTTCATCAAATTACTCAGCGTTAGATCTAAAACGCATGAATAATGTTTTTTAAAATGCATGAATAATGTTCCCCAGGAGAGCTGGGAGATTTTTGTCATGGAGTGAGTAGAAGTGTGCCTTTTTGAAATGCTATTGTTTGGAAACTCTGGAGATTCGCCGACTAATTAGGCTTATTTGCATGCAGTGGAAGCGAGCAGCTGACAGCGTCCACTGCCGGCCAAGAAAAAGATGCTTTTAATGAGAGCTCACTGCTGTGTTAAAGGAGTCCCCTGCCTCCTCAGGCCTACACACATGCACATACACACACACACAAACAAGTTACATGTAACCCTCCTCTGAGGCTCCGCCCCCACAGCCACGTTGCCCTGGCTACATGGTTGTCACCTTTCCA